CATATTGAAGACTCTAACGGCCAATGCCAAGGTTATATCTAATGCTCATATATGAAGCAGTTGACACAATTTTTTTCGGAATTTTAAGCGATACCGGTGGCGGACAATTTGAATTGTCCCACTAAGGAACCTGTCCCGATATACAACAGTTTCCCCTAGTTGTTATTCGTCGGCCAAACCCTCTGATCGGAATCTATTGCAAGCTTGTAAGTAGGCCGTGCACAGCGACAAATCCCAAGTCGCATGTTTCGTATCAACAGATCCGCTTAGTTTCACATTCAGTTTCACGCAATTACTACAAGTCAAAGAAGCAGCATTACAATCCTGAACCTTATGGCCTGACCACTAACATTCCGTTCTGGACGAGGTTTCACCATAATCGTATTTGGTAAGTTGTAGCTGATACGTCGCTTTTGCCGGATTTTGTTTCGCATACTATTGTCTTGTGGTGTTGCCAGGTTGTTGGGCGACGCATGCGCAATTGCTATTGCGGTGCTGCCTGATTGAGTTCTTTTACTCTGTTTGTTGCGGTGTTGCCGGCTTGAACTAGTTGGAAGGGATGTGAGGCGTCTTGGATGAATTCTGGTGGTTCGTAACAGTCGGTGTGGTGTTGTTAGTTTTTTCAGTATTGAGGAAAACCACCTATTTAAAATATTATTTCTTCAAATCTTAATTTTTTAAAAAAATATTTACTGAATAAAAGTAGATGTTGCAACCATGTATTGCTCAGTGGAATTCATGAGAAGAAGAGAGCGCCATCAAATTTAGGGGACCGCGTTCGAGCCGTACTACGAAGGGAAGGTAGAAGGGAATAGGAAACTAGACGCTAGACTGGAGAACAGACTGGTTCCTTTGAACGCGAGTCTGTAATTATTCATTATTCAATTTTCATTTCTATTTTGCATCAAAATTGATTGTTCAATCCAATTTGTTATTAGTGTGTGTGTAAGGAGAGTTCACAGGTTAGTGGATTTAATGTTATTTTGTTTTTGATAGTTCAATGTATGCAAGTTTCTATTATTTTGTTCATTTTTATGTATTTTTGTTTATTTATAACATTTTTTATAACATGTGCATTGTTTATGTATTTAACCAAAATCGTTTCATGCTGTAAGCAACACAGATAAAAAGTAAATTAAAACCTAAGAAATTATGTGCTGTCTTTTTGTGCTGAGATTTTGATTTTGTGTATTCAGAGCGTGCATTAGGGCCTTGTTGAATTTACTAATATTTTCCTACCCTGACGAGCGAATATCCTACCGAACAAAAGAAAGATATATTGGCTCAAAAACAACTATAGCCGTGAGTTTACGTAACCAGGGACCTCGGTACCTGCCACACATGGGCTAACTAACCAAAAACTCTTCAGTATTGATTTATTGATTATAGGTATTGTTGATTGAATGTAGTGTGTGTAATTAAAATTTTAGCACAAGAACAGGGGCGGTACCTAATTTAAACTTTTATTGACTTAAATTATTGAATTATTGACTCACAATTATTATTAAAATGACACAGTATGTTTCGATTTTTGGGGAATGTTAGACCGAGGGTTTCTCTGCCGTTCTCTTTTCCCACGAGAATTCTAGGTCGAGAACGGTACGTTTTTCTTTGATAATAAAGGAGACGTTTCACGAAATTTTTCGTTTCTTTTACATATCACAACTTCCCTTAAATTACCCAAATATTTGCTATGTCGGGCGCATGTCCAGTAAGTAAAATTGAGTAAGTTTCCACAACGTAGATGTCCTATTTGTTTTTCATTTCGTTTTTCAGAATATTTGTTGTTTAAAGGTAATAAAAATTCTCATCGTTCAATCTTACTGAACGAACCTGTGTATGTTATATTACAGTATCTCTTGGGGTGCTAGTGTTATCCGTTGTCAGTTGAATAGAATTTTCCAAACTGTTGGTAAAATTTTGGTATGGTCTCGTTTATTGATCGTCCCTCGATTACTATGGCCTGGCACGTTGGTTCTTGATAAAGGGCGCAAGACGCCCTACTCAAGTAAAGCGACGTGGTGGAGATTGTATGGGTTACCGCAGTAGTACGAGACGGTAGGTCGCCCGCGCTGCCGCCAATCATCTAACCTCTAAGTATGAATGGGAAGGAGTAGAGGTCATACAATGTGATAATAAGCTATAAGGCTGCAATATAGAGAATAGGCTCGAAAAGCCCGAAAGGGTGAAAAGAAAGAACAAACTATGGCTTGCATTATTATCCGCGTCTTGAAGTGTAGTATGTTTGTAGCTGGTAGCATGTTATATATCCTTTGTATTCCCAAAGTGGCCAAATCTCGAAAGATATTAACAGTATAAGAATCACCATGTTTGATAAGTTTCGCCATCGTGCCCATCGGCACTCGAAGGTATTTATAAAAACTTGGGGTCGTTCCAGAGTATCCATACTCCAAACGTGGATGGTAACTTTCTTGATTTTGAATCATGTTGACATATATGTTTTGATCTATGATGAGCCGCTGCTTGGAACACACCACACCCAACCTTTGAGTGTTTTTTTGAGCTGAGCAATTCCATAACAATGAACTTGCTATGTGATTATTTTTATTCTAACTAAATGTGCTAATTAATATAATTACTTGCAGAAATTAGTCTGTTTTCATCTTGTGTTCACTGGTCATGCAATTGAGATCTTTACACCCACATCTCGATATAAAACACCTGAATTTCCAAAATGGATGGATCATGACCTGAAATCTTCAATAATTGAAAAAAAAAAATCACACACAATTTTGAAAAGTACAAGAGATATAGAAGACTACATTGCTATTTCACCATTAAGAGAGCAGTGTAGAAATAAATCATTATCTTCACACAGCAGTAGAGTGTTTTCACAGCTATCAGACCAATACCCACCTCTACTACGTAAAAGCCCCCCTCCAGCACAGCCATCATACCACTACCCACGCCACTGTAAACCCCCTTCTGTGGAGCACCTACCCTGAGGAGGCACTTTTTTATATCCCTCCACTTTTTTGAAAACTAAAGAATATTCAGCCAATTCTTCCATTTATATTCGTCTATTTTGGGATTGGCCAGGGTCAAATCCCCAAAATTTCAGATCAAAGGCGCCGCCGATCTAGAGATTTTTCCACAGTATCGAAAAACTTCCCAGGCTCAAGTGCCCCGCCGATTTAGAAATTTTCTCATGGTATCGGAAAACTTCCCAGACTCGAGTGCCCCCGGCTATCAGACCAATACCCACCTCACAGCTATCAGACAAATATCTACCTCACAGCTATCAGAGTGTCGCGCAATAAGCTTTTCTTAGCTTCGGCGTCTTTTTGCATTCTCTATTCTTCGAGATCCGCAAAAAGCAAGCGTAAGAAATCAAGCTCCGCTGCGTCGGGCGGATTCAGGCTTGTTGCTGCGAACGGGACTTCAGGCTCGTTAAAATCTGACTCTGATACGGCCGCAGGAATTGGACCTCGGCTTAAAATCGTGTCCAACTCTTCTAGAGTGGCGTCGTATAAGTCTGGACTGATTCTGTCCGTCATTTTGTCCGGAGTCAGTCGGGATGCCAGTTGCTTTTAGGGCGAAGCAGCAACCCTTTTCCCACGGTTCTCGTACAACTTCTTAGTTGTACTGAGAGGAGGTCCCGCCAAAACCACCCGGCTGGCTCTTTAGGAAAAGCTTGCGAGCCAGCAGTTTCCAGAAAAGGATGTGAGAATTGACGTTTTGTAATTCGAGTGCAGGGCTCCAACTCGATTTTTAGAAGTCCGAGGGGCCAAAGTTGTATGAACACGGTGTCTGGAAACGTTTTATTACAACGACAGTACGTTGAGCTCAGATGGCATTCTGAAGAAACCGTCGAGCGGCTTCGAGAAAATTAAATGACAATTAAAAACACGGAGGAACAAAAACGGTGCACCAGGTCCGGAGACCAGTCTAACCTTTAAAGGTTCGTGTGTTTTTGTTAAAGTCTTGTCTGTACTGTCTTGGGATGAGGTTTTTCTCAAAAATCCTCCGAAAAATTCAAGCTAGAGGTAGTTTGGACTTCTAAGTTTTTGATAAAACTCTGTTCTAACTGGCGGCAAATCTTGCTTTTGTCTCAGTTTGACATTTTTCCCTAAAAAGTCTCAAGAAAAAATCAAGCTGGGGGTAGTTGATACTCTTTGGTCTGTCAATAAGCACTGTCCCAACTTGGCGAAGCTAATCTTGCTTTAGTAAAATTGAAATTGAGATTTTTCCTAAAAAAGCCTCAGGAAAAATTCAAGCTTGGATAGTTTTAGACTTTCTAGTCTGTAAGCAAATTCTGTCCCAACTTGGTGAGCCTTCAGAAGAAGAAAAGGACTATATTTGATTTCAGAGTTTCAATTCGAAGTGGGGCTTGCAGAAGACAAGAGAATTTTCATAAAAATTTCCAAAAATTCGTCGAGGCTGGACACGGAGAGTGGAAACCTTTAAAGGAGGCTTCCAAAGCAAAAGGTGACAATCGCGGTGGAGGAGTCTAGATTCACTAGACGGAAAGCTGCATAAATGTGCCGAATTTGAAACGCGAGGTTCAATTAAGAACCAGAAATCAAACGAATTTTCTTTTTCTTCCAGACAATTGCACTGAAAAGGACTTAGTCGGGGATTTGAATATTTGTTTATATGACTGCTTTTGGCCTGAAAACGGCCGTTTTTATACATTTCGGCGATACCCGTTACAAGCCACGCCTACCGCGAAAACAGCCAATCACAGTCATGCAACACAACAAGATTAATACCCACCTCTACTACGTCAAAAAGCTTCTACTCTGAAGAGGCACCTCTTTCCATATCCCTTCACTTTATTGAAAACTAGAGAATATTTAAACAATTCCTGCATTTGTATTCGTCAATAGTATTCTAAACTCCATGCGATGTAGAAGCTCTTGAAAGGATTCAAAATTGGAAGCATACCGTTAATGTTAAAGGACCCTATCAAAACTCTATTGTAAAAATAGTAGTTGAGTAGAGTTATTGACAACCACGAACACTAAAAAAACTCAAAAATGAATTCTTGTTCCTCTATCGACAATGTTCTAGCTCATATGAATGGCGAAAAATTACTCTCAGACTTTACAAGCGGAGAACTATTGAGAATTCCGTTGGATTATTTATTGAAACATGCAAAGTCCTTTGAACTTTTGGATGCACGGGGTAAATTACCAATAAGTTACAAAAATAGCTCCCTTCTTCAAATTAAGTTACCATGCTTTATTCATCACACCAGACCAGATTGGATAACTCACATTGATGGTCCACCAGATTCACAAGCAAAATGATACTATTGTAATAAAATGATTCTATCCAATTATGTCTGAATGTTTTTAATAAAGCCAAGTCGTTTGAAAAATTATTGAATTTTCTTTCCAAACTTCAATTTAAGCCAAATCTCAAGTAGATCTGGTTTTGAGATATAAATTATTCTATAAATGATTCCATTTAAATGTTTTACACAAATTAACTACTTCGTATATGTCTTCAATTTTACCTTATAATTGACTAATTTTCTGTCTGTAAAAATGCAATCGCTTCCCAGGGATTATGCTGAGGTTAATGTATCAATCAGTCTCTGGTCGTTGCACTCTAGATTCCTAGAATGATTTTTATGAAAACTAGATCTGACTTTAAAAATTTAAACCCTCTATGCTTTCTATTTTCATTCGCATTTTTCACACGTTTTAACTACTTTGAATAGTCGCTCAATATAGATAAGTGGTTTCCTGTCTGTAGAAATGCTTACGCTTATAGGTACACATAACTTTGTCCATTGATTGGTGTAAAAGGTATTTTAATTATATTATCTGGTTATTGTGTGGTCAGTGCACTTCAGATTCACATGATGTTTTGAAGGTTATTTGGTTTCAATTAAAATTTGCAAAGAAAATGCAATAATTTTTCAAACAACTTAGCTTTATCAAAAATATTCAGATATAACTGGATAATATCATTTAATTACAATAATATCATTTTGCTTGTGAATCTGGTGGACCATCAAAATGAGTTCTTTAGTCTGGTCTGTTGTAATGAATAAAGCATGGTACCCTAATTTGAAGAAGCAAGCTATTTTAGTAACTTATTGGTAATTTACCCCATGCATCCGAAAGTTCAAAGAACTTTACATGATTTAATAAATAATCCAACAAAATTCTCAATGGTTCTTCGCTTGTAAAATCTGGGAGTAATTTTCCGTCATTCATATGAGCTAGAACATGGTCTAAAGAGGAACAACAATTCATTTTTGAGTTTTTTGGTAGTTGTCAATAACTCCACTCAACAACTATTTTTGCAATATAAATTTTATGGGGTCCTTTAACAATAACGGTCCGCTTTTAATCCTTTCAAGAGTTTCTACATCTCATGGAGTTTAGAACACTATTGACGAATACAAATGCAGGAATTGTTTACCAATTCTCTAGTTTTCGAGAAAATGAAGGGATATGTATAGAGGTGCCTCTTCAGAGTAGAAGCTTTTTGACATAGTAGAGGTGGGTATTGCTCTGATAGCTGTGAGGTGGGTATTGGTCTGATAGCTGGGGGCACTTTAGTCTGGGAAGTTTTTCGATACCGTGAGAAAATCTCTAAACCTGCGGGGCACTTGAGTCTGGGAAATTTTTCGATACCGTGGGAAAATCTCTAGATTGGAGGCGCCTTTGATCTGAAATTTTGGGGATTTGACCCGGGCCAACCTCAAAATTGACGAATACAAATGGAAGCATTGGTTAAATATTCTTTAGTTTTCAAGAAAGTGGAGGGATATAAAAAAGTGCCTCCAAAGGGTAATAGTTTCACGAAAGGGGGTTCACAGTGGAGATTGGTAGTGGTATGATGGATGTGCTGGAGGGGGGTTTTTACGTAGTAGAGGTGGGTATTGGTCTGATAGCTGATAGCTGATGGCTCTACTCACAGGGAATACATCAAAACGCTCGAAAGTAAATTGACTGACAATAGATCTTTCTGGAAATATGTTAATTCAAAGGAAGGTAACTCAGAGTACCCACAGTGTATGGCACTTGGTGAGGATTTAAGTAACGATCCACAGAAAATAGCAGAAATGTTTAGCACTAACTTCTCAGATGTATACTCACAATATGAGCAATTGAATGGCTCTTTTTCATGTGATAAATGTGTTGATCTAGGATTTTTATCTGTAAATATGATGTTTTAATAATAATCTCTTGAGACTTATTATTTAAACTTATAGTTTGGAACTTATTAAATTTTGCAACCGAATACTGGATGCAACTGAACTAGTCCGCTTTTATTAGAAAATTGTTACTCAAAAATGTAAATATTTTATTTTCCATTGAATTTAAACAGGATGTATAAACCTAATGATGAAATTCCCCTGAAGAATTTTAGAAACGTAAACTAATTTTATAATTTGCTTTGCGAGTTTCAAAAACCATTCCATTAAAAAAACAGGTATATTTCTATGCATTAAGTGAGAATGTCTCACACCTATAAAAATAAAATTTTAGTTTTGCTTAAAACCTCAAATAATAAATCCATATGAATTTAGTAATATTTTAAATTGCTACCTTTGCATTACCCTGATTTAGGTAGCCCATGCACTGAAAGTTATTCACCCTGTATTCTTAAGATAACTCCATTAAAGTGAAGGCAATTTAGATCTGGTTGTAAATATATAAATTATCCTATGATATCTACTTCCATTTAAAATTTTTGCACATATTAACTACTTCGTATATGTCTTCAATTTTATCTTATAATTGACTAATTTTCTGTCTGTAAAAATGCAATAGCTTCTGAGGTTAATGTATCAGTCTCTGATCCTTGCACTCTAGATTCCCATTATGATTTTTATGAAAACTAGATCTGGTTTTAAAAATTTAAACTCTGTATGCTATCTATTTTCATATGCATTTTTTACAGGTTTAAACTACTTTGAAAAGTCTGTCTGTGAAAATGTTTTTAATTTTGAATCCATCATTTCAAGTGCTTCTATAGTATTTTTAATACCCATTTAGAATAACCCCATCCTTATTTATCAATCACGAATCAGATGAAACAAAAGATTACCAACAAAAATGAATGTCGATTGCTAATACGTCAACTTCATGTACAAATAGGAAATTCCTAACCTAATTTTATTTGTCTGTTCAAGAAGCGACATACGTTTAGTCACTAGAACGACTGGTACTTCTAAATAGGTATCAAAAATATTATATATCCCATGGAGTTTAGAACACTATTGACGAATACAAGTGCAGGAATTGTTTAAATATTCTCTAGTTAACAAGAATGTGAAGCGATATGGAAAGAGGTGCCTCTTCAGATTAGAAGCTTTTTATCCTAGTAGAGGTGGGTATTGCTCTGATAGCTCTGAGGTGGGTATTGGTCTGAAAGCTGGGGGCACGAGTCTAGGAAGTTTTTCGATCCCGTGGTAAAATCTCTAGATCGGCGGCACCTTTGATCTGAAATTTTGAGGATTTGACCCGGACCAACCGCAAAATTGACGAATATAAATGGAAGAATTGGTAAAATATTCTTTAGTTTTCGAAAAAGTGGAGGGATATAAGAAAGTGCCTCCTCATTGTAGGGGCTTCACGGAAGGGGGTTTACAGTGGAGGTGCGTAGTGGTATGATAGTTGCGCTGGAGGGTTTTTACGTAGTAGAGGTGGGTATTGGTCTGATAGCTGTGAAAATAGTGTACTGCTGTGTGAATATAATGATTTATTTCTACACTGCTCTCTTAATTGTGGAAAAGCAATATAGTCTTCCATAGCTTTTGTACTTTTGAAAATTTTGTGTGATTTCAATTATTGAATATTTTAGGTCATGATCCATTCATTTTGGAAATGCAGGTGTTTTATACCGAGATGTAGGTAAGGTAAATATTGGTCTGATAGCTGTGAAAACACTCTACTCACAGAGAATACGTCAAAACTCTTGGAAATCAATTGATTGACAAGAGATCTTTCTGGAAATTTAAAAATGGCAACTCAGAGTACCCACACTTGGTAATGATTTTAGTAACGATCCACAGAAAATAGCAGAAATGTTTAGCACTAACTTCTCAGATGTATACTCACAATATGAGAAATTGAATGGGTCTTTTTCATGTGATAAATGTGTTGATCTAGGATTTTTATCTTTAAATATGATGTTTTTAATAGAAAGTGTTTTAAAACCCAATTTAGGGCCTGGGCCTGATGGCATACCTGTTTTTTAAGTGCAAAACTATGAATTTGTCCTTTCTGATATTTGATGCAGAATCTATAATCTTTCCATAAGTACCGGCATATTTTCTACGGCTTTGAAAAAGTCCTATTTCACACCAGTTTTAAAGGATGGGAACAGAGCAGACATAAAAAAAACTACCGTGCCATTTCTAAAAAATGTATATTTTCTGAAATCTTTGAAGCCCTTATCTCAGATAGAATATCCCCTCATTTTAAAAACATCATAATTAATGAGCATCAAGGCTTTATGCAAGGAACATCAACAGTTTCTAACCTCTTAAGCTATGAGCAATGTCTGTTGGGAGCTTTCGGGAAAAGGTATCACTGGTATCAGGTTGATGCAATCTATACTGATTTTTCGAAGACTTTTAACAGAGTTGATCATGGTACTCTGGTGAAGAAGCTTGCTTCAATTGGGATTATTGGAGATCTCCTCAATTGGTTTGAGAACAACTTGAGGGGACGTAAGCAGTCTGTAAAAATTAGAATTTTCATATCATCTGTGCTATTGCAAGAAGATCTAAATAGATTCTATTTATGGTGCAAAACTAATAATTTAACATTAAATGTAGGTAAATGCATGATTTTAAATTTTTGCAAAACAAAAAACTCTGTTCTTTTTGAGTATTGTCTGGACTCTGAACCCCCAAAAAGGCAAAGTCTAATCAAAGATCTTGAAATATGATTAGATTCTGAATTCACTTTTAATAAACATATAGAAATTTTTAGCAATAGGGCATGCGTCTCCTTGGTTTTGTTTTACGAACTTTCAGAGGGTATCTAAGCCTTATGAGGAAATTAATTGTAATGAAATAATGAAACTTCTAAACTTAATGCCTTTGGAAAGCCGAAGAAATTTTTTTGACATCTCAACACTTTATAAAATTGTTAATAACATCATTGATGCACTAGATCTTCTTGCGGCTATTGGGCTCCATATTTCTCCCTTTA